TCTTTTCACGGTGTATAATTTACCTTTTCATCATTACTGTTTCATTAGAAACACCGACGCAGCTCACACTAGTTTTTAGCTAGTTATATCTTTATAGTGTAAGACAGTGCACTTACCACTCACTTCTCAGACACAGTTTTTAGGTGCAGCATCAAATGAGTATGTACATATATTGGATGTTTATTACAGTTGGTCTCTTATTTGATGCTAGGGGTTTTTCCTCTAGTTTCTACAGTTTTCTTTCTCCCATGACCATACATGCTACACTATAAATTCAATTCCAATTTTATCTGTGTGTTAGCCTAGCATGTGTGTGTTCAATTCTATTTCAGCTTTTAAATCTAAGCTTAAGACATTTTTATTAGGAATTATTTTTATTGATATTTTTCTTATTTGTATATTTATTTTTTATTGATTTCTTTTTATAATTCTGTATGTATTTGAATTTATAATGATTTAGTCTATCACTTGTTTGTGATGCGCATTTTTGAGTATTTATGTAGAATTTGCGCAATACAAAATAAAGTTATTATTATAATCATTAACCCTGAGGTTGTTACATGGTTCAATAAAAATGGAAAGTAACTTATTTTGTATTTCTTTCCTTTGTAGGAAGGATTTGATGAAAAATATTCCGAAGCTAAAAGTTTACATAAACTAGAGAGGCATATTGAAAACGAATACATCAACAGAGTACAATCACAGTGTTACAGGGAAAGACAATACAGTAAGTACAATACAATGGATTGCTTCATTCATTTATATCACCCCCTCTCAAAGTTACATCATCGTATAGAAGAAAAAAAACGCTTCCTAGTCACAGTATCCTAGGGCAGTTATGGAGCAATTTTGCTCAACCCACTCCTCCCTGATTACAATTTTGTAGGAAAGTTAATTACTCTCCTTATGTCAAATAACAAGTAGCTTTGCTCACCCACTTCTTCTCAGATCCAATATTTAAACCTGTTTGTGTAAAGGAATGAAGAAAAAAATTAGCTTATTCCACTAACTTTCCTTCTACTTCCTATACCCTCTCTTCTCTTATCATTTCTCTTCTTTTTCCCTGGCTTATTCTTTTTTCTCTCTTATTGGATGGTTTCTTCAACAGTTACAGTGTAGATGTTTCTTATTTTCAACTCTCCCTCCCTCCAGACACACACCTAATTGTAGCGTTTTTCATTTAATGAAATGAACACTCCGATGAAACTGAAAGAGCATATCAACCAATATCTACAGTAGTTCTAGTAAATGTCTTACACCTGCTTCCATCAAGTTATCTCTCACTGTAAATAATACTTATCTATCCCATTACTGCTAATGGGTTTAAAACAATTTTAGACTCTAAACCTGTCAGCTACAATAAATCCATAAAATTAAAATACAACACTGAACCACAGACATAGCAAACGACCTCTTCGATTTAAAGCTTCTAGGATCAGTGGTACCTTTGTTAGAACTGAAACAACTTGGTCTTTATGCTTGTAATGTGTGTTGATGGATGTCTGTGTCGATGGTGTGGGTGTCTACCGCTGATGTGCGTCGGTTAGAGTCATATTTACTTCCGGTTCCCTCCGCCTTCTGTATTTCCTGATTCTAATTATTTACTGTATTTCCTTGAGAACAAAGCAGTTTGTCTTGGTGCTTTGATTTTTTCCTAAGGTGAAAAGAATTATGGATTAACCGTTCTTGATGTACCGTCATTAAAATTTCCGAGTAGGAAAAATTCCGTGTTCGCGAGTTATCAGACTTGTCGAGATAACATCTTTTCTTTGTATCCTTTTCCTCTACTCTTTTTTTTTCCGTCTTTGGAAATGCATGACATGTTTCTTCTGTTATCTTTTCCTCTTGTCTCTTTCCTTGCGTTTTTTTTTTTTTTTCGGGGTCTTTGTCATCCATGAATCATCCATGCGTCTATTAAGAATCCATCCCTTCATTCATGCCTTCAGTCCTTCTGTTTTTTCCCCCCAATTTTTCTGATTCAATGCACTGTTAAATCCTTTATAAATTGTTTCCAGGACACACACACAAAAAAGTGTTGCTTTACGAGGAAATAGGAATAATAAGAAAGTATTAAATAGTGTGCTCTCATTCAACTACCAGCTATATACAGATGTATTGAATCTCAGTCGTGCATGAAATTAACTTTAAAGTGCCGTCCAATATCTCCATTACGTGTCGTCTTGTTTCCTGTATCGTGATGTAACAGAGAAACCTCGTTAGGTATTTGTGGTGGAATTTGTCGCCCTTTCATCTTCTTTGTTTTCATTTTAACGTCAGTGTAGACCCTAAACCATCCATCAAATCTAATGAACTGTCTTTGTTACATTAGCTTGTTAATTCATTTGACATTATCTAACCTTTACTGAATAAATTTATTCCACGCGTCTATTTTAAAACCCAGGTGATTTTATTCTACTTAAAAAGGCATTTTGTCGACGCCAATGTACCTGTATGCCTTGCAGATATTTTTTATTCCATAAGTTCTTAATTACAAAAAATCGAAAAAAAAAAAAAAAAAAAAATTAAATATATAAATGAATTGAAACTAGTTTTTTCATGCCATAGCATCTTTAAATATCCACCCTATAACTCCAATTTGTTGCTATCTTTTTTGCCTAAATTTATAAGTGGTTCTATGTCGGTTAAACTGTTCATGGTCAAATTATTGTCTTTCCTGGAGATATTTTAATTTAAGCTCTCGTTCCTACCGTTTTATATATTTTCTGATTTGGCCCTTTTTCGATCAAAGTAACCAGTCACAACACTCTTGTCTCCAATTAAGATTGTTTATAGCTGTAATTTTTGTGTGCACGTAAAAAGGTTTCGGCCTAATCCCTATAGATTCTATATTTCTTTGCTTCCCTCAACAATATACCAAACAGGTTTGACAACTCGATCTTTTAAGTCAACGTTTACATCACCAAGAAATTACGTGACATTGATTAGTGAAGGCAATTAAAGTATTCAATTAAAGACAATAGAGGAAAGATATGCACTTAAAAAATAAAAATAAAAWATCGATTGTCTGTGTTTAATGTATATTAAATATATATATAATCTAGATATTTTTTGAGTACGATAACTATTACTTTTTATGATATTTTATTATTACTTTGTCTTGGTGGTTTATCGAGAGGTCAATAAACAAGCACTCACTTACCACAATTTATCAAAATTATTATTGATTTTAGGTTTCAATATTTTAACATAAATTCACTGATAATATATGATTCAAAATAAATACACTCTGTATTATCTTGTACATAAATGTAAAATTATTTTCGAATATTTTTCAGTTTATTTTCTTCGTATAGAAATTTCTTTCTTTAAAGCAGCTAGTTTTATCTTCTTATAACTATAACCGATAATGTTGTCACGGTTTTACCTATATTTCAACCATTTCCACCTCTTTTAATTGTCATATCCATCCTCGCTTTATCTTCCCATTATCCTTTACTTTTTATGGATTTCCTCTATAATATGGCACATTTGTTTTTCCCCTTCTTGGAGTGTGCAATACAACCTTTGACAGCCTCCGTAAATACTTCGACATAGCCTCTCTGCGTTAACGCCGAACACTCTATATACTTCAAAGCACCGAGCTTCTTCATCATTTTTCTTCCTTCTTTATGGCTTACAAATTGAGGCGATTCTCCGTCTTTCTTTCCCTTCTTCTTGCTCTCCGCATCGCGAAGATCCGTCTTGGTGCCGACCAAAATAATCGGCGTTTTGGGCAAATGTCGTTTTATTTCTCGATACCATTTATTTTCGGCATTTCGAAACGACTCTAAGTCGTCCACAGAATAACATACACAAAATACATCTGTATCTGCGTATACTTCGGGGCGAACATTCTCCTTAGTCTCTACATATTCTGTATCCCACAGCTCTAGCTGATATATCTTCCCATCCACGATAATATTCGCCTTGTACGTATTAGAAAACGATTCTAGATGCTTTCTTGATATTGTATTAGACTTGTAGCAGAGTTGAAGAAGAAGGCAAGTCTTGCCGACTGTACTGTCTCCAAGAACCACTATTTTGATTTTCCTCTCGATATCGATGTCTGTGTTCGGCACTACGACGAATCCATCCACCATCTTGATGTTATATCTTGTCCCTTTCCTAACTTAACGGGTTATAAACACCGACGAACGAACCCTCGATGCGAAGATACGAGACTTGTGCTTTACAATTACTCGACTAGCTGCCCCGTGACTTGTCACAGCAGTATCCTCCAAGTACTGCGAGCTCACTAAGGTGTGACTGGAGTCGTTGAGTGCAGAATCCAATGTGTCTTGAAATTTTCAAATTGAATTTCTAGCAGATCGAGCTGACAGACCTCGGAGTGTCATTAGCTGTTTGGACTCGCTCTCAATGGTTCAGTCAGTTCCGTTTAAGTAATGTAAACACACCAGAAAAATCTCCTATGCTAATACACGATTTCTAGGCATCTTTATCTCTCGTTAAATACTATCTGAAATTCACTGATCTTAAAACTCTTCGTAGCTTCCCACCTTCCTTGGCTGAATAGTTTCTTGTTTTGGTCTTTGCTGGTAAATATTCGAATAAACTCCGGCAGTGATGCGACCTTTGGCTTACCGAAAATATGAATTCCAAATTCCTATCATCTGAATAATTCATCATCTCCCAGGTTCGGTAATTATGGATATTATTTTTGGCAACCCAGACGGACCATGATTTGACAATCCAGACTAAAACACACTATTTCTAACCAGTAAAATCATTTCAATCATTGTAATGAGTCTTTAAGGAAAATGATAATTTTTCCCCTCGATTTTCTTTTGGCCATTTTAAATATTTTTTGAGCCCTCTAGATTATCGTATTCATGTTATTTTACTCTTTAATCCGTGTTTGCAAAAGCCAGATTATATACCACTTGTCGACCTGTCGCCACAATAATTCTTCTATGGTGGACAATGCATTAACTTTTCTGTTTGTATGGTTTTATTTAATGTGTAAGGGTTTTGACGAATGGATTTATTTTATGCACAACAGGCCGCTGTGATCTTCCTGCTGCTACCACGAGGCTGTCTTGTCTAGTCGAGATAAAATATTTGAATAAAACAAGCCGTTGATAAAACCTCAGTTTCAAAGATATTTGCAGTTATTAAGAATGATATTCAAATCTTCAGCGGCTTCTCCAAATTTAATCGTTTTCTGCATCGGGTATTTTAGCCTCTTTAACGAGTGAATGTCGACTGTTTGAATACGTAATTGCGCATCGGAAGTTCCCAGGGTCGAATCTTAACATGTGGTCGTGTAGTTTACTCTAAAAGCCTAAGAGGTTATGCAAAATCATGTTTTGGTGGTATCTGTAGATTTAGGTGTGGTTGAATCGTTCTTTTTAATGAGTAAATAGCAATTGTCTGCCTAGAATGTGCGTCGGATGTATCCCAGGGTCAAATCTCTAGGTGTGGGTGTGGTGTTCGGTGCCCTTCTCTACCTAATCTCCTTTTGCATACAAAGATATATTTACGGGATACAGTGATCAAAAGTAATAATTATTTAGATCGCCGCCTTCACATTTTGTTTGTCAATTCGTCTTTTGATTTTATTTCTTTGTCTATTTTCTTTTCTGTTCTCTTTTACTTTTCCGCTTTCAGCTCCTCCTTTAGCTTTATTTTGGTTCTTTTTTCAAAAATTTGTAATGGAATCAAGAAAAGATGATGTTAGTTTTATCTTCAGTAGTTTTTTGCCACGTA